GCCTCTAGCTCTCCCTTGGTGACTGTATACACGTACCTGCAGCCTCTCCCCGTCAAACAGATTGCAACAAGTGTCAGGACTACAGGGATTCAGTATAATTCATGGTCATCAAAACGTCTTGCAGGGAGTGCACAACAAGGAGTACACTGGATTGAATGGTAGAGCAATGACATTTTATATCACTTTATATATATATATATATATATACATATATATATGTATATATATATATATATTTTAACATAGTCTGTTTTCTGCTAGAACACATACCAGTTGCTTATGGGCAGCTTTTCCATTTGTTTGTAATGTTCTTTCCATTGATGCTGTGTCCCGGTAATCAATAAAACTTGATTAAGGATAATAGTGAAAAACGGCAGCCTGCAACCTCATTAAATGTAAAAATCCAGTGCAGAGTGTGGTGAGTAGAGTCAAAGAATCACGACTCAAAGAATAAATGTGTGGCTTGAGATCAGAAGAAACTCAAATTGATATTGGCAGGACTTTTTCTCATGACGAGAGGAAAGCTACCACTGCCATCGTTGGATGTAGATTTACAGCTGGACAGGAGAAGAAATCCTATGTGAATAAACGTCTTGTTAAAGATTTGCTCTTGTTTTAGATGAAACCAGAAAGGTTGCTTTAGAATGACTGAGAAAAAACAATTAAGGAAAAAGATATATTTTCTGGAGGCTTAAAGAATGCTTGGCTAACATTCAGTGAGGCATTTTACTTTTGTCTTAAGCTCTTCTAAACATTGTAGCTGTGATTTAAAACAGTTGACGTTTTGGAGTGAGATGTCATCATTCCAAATTTTTAAGAATTATTTTTTTTCCCTTTCTCTCAATGTTTCTCAAGGGACGGCGTGTTGGAATGCAAACAAGAATGTGAAGTGTTTTGTATGAATATGGATTCTTCCATTCCAATAAGAGCTGGCTGTCAGCAGTTCTGTTTGAAGGTCTGTGTGGAGATAAACTTATGTCTTTATTTTGAGGCTGGTGAGACTTCCACTCTTTGAGGATGAGAATAGAATTGGAAAGCTGAGGGCTGCAACTGGAAATTCTTAAAACTTGCATTAGTGACTTAAACATTGTGGAGTATTGATTTAATGCATTCATGGACTGTTTTGATTTGCCTGCTGTTTTCTAAGTTGTTAAGAGTATTTGTAGCCCTTTCTCCATCTTTTTGTAGCACCACAAAGATGTGCTACTCACTTTTTCATAAAATGGGCCTGTCATATTTCAGCACTGGGAGCTGCTACTTGAAACAGTAGAGCCACACTGCAGATCTGGGAGACAGGAAAATTTTCCTTGGGTTGTTTTGTGTTTGTGGGAGGATGGGTACCTGGTGAGAAAAGAGATGGCGTGCTCTGATCTGTGTCTCATCTTCCTTTAAATACTTCAGGCAGTTGGTGAAATGGGGGGCAGAACTTCATCTGTGGAGGGTCCTTCCCACATAGGGGCTGTTACAGGTTTAGAGGTTTGAGTGCAAGACTTCAGGATGGTCTGTAGCTGGGGAAGGCTGCTGCTCTGCTCTTTGCTAGAATAGTTAGGCAATCCTACCTTGATGTAGGAGTTTCCTTGTTCATGTTCTAATCACCTCTCTTTGGCCTCTGCAGCTGGAGCACGTTGGAACTCAACCACTGCACAAGGATTAGAGGCTCACACGTTCTAAGGCATTAGTAAAAATATATTCCAGGTGGATTCTGTCTCCTAAATGCATCAGTGTTATTAAGGTAATGTTCTAATTACCACATTTCGGAGAGCAAAATGAGATGTTAAAGTGCCTGACAGTGGAAAACTTGCACGCTGCTCACTGTGTCATCGTTTGTAATTTGTCCAGTTAATCAAGGTTGTGTTTGAAATTGTTCCTCTTCTTCTTTTCCCCTAAATGGAAAGTTAAATGCAATCCGCTTTCTAGAAGCTGTTTTTAATTTTGACCATCCAGTAACATGCTCCAGTAATGAAACTTATACCTCCATTTAAAGGTCCTCTGTGTAATTTATAGGCCTGATTTTCTTTCCTCATAAATTCCCACCCTGCTTTCTAGGGAGGCAAAGTGTACATTAGCCACTCTCCCAGGAGACTTCCATACTGTGCGTATAACAACTGTGAGATAATAACTCAGCCAAGGAGGGCTGAGTGTGCTCAGATTCCAGCACCATGCAGAATTGGGTCCTCAGCTTGACCCCAATATGAGCCAACAAGGGGCTGTTTTTCTTCCAGGCAGCAGAATTTTTTGGCATGCAATCTCTTCCAAAGCATTGACTCATGGGAGGAGGAAGGAGCAGCTTTTCCTTTTACTCAGCTTGCAAGCCTCTGACGTGAGTGGTTCTTAGAAGTGTTATTAGAATGCTGTAGCTCAACCATATTTCTCATTTTAAAATGTATTTCAAATGACTATGTTGGCATTCTTTGCAGGATGCAAGCACTAAGATACAACTGCTAACATGCACAGCTTGGTCAAGCTAAGCCAGTCTTGTAATTTCTCTTCGGCCCTGTGGTTGGGGACCTTTTAGATTAAATTCATTATTTCATGGTAGTTTTGAGATGTAACATAAGCCTCCAAAGGGATCTTAAGCTTCTCTTTTTTATTAAAATGAAATCTTCCCTTGGCATTTCTCTAGGCACTTCTCCAGTCACAAATAAAAGGGACACTGCTGAAGAATATTCTGCTGCACACTTAAATGCCAGCAATCCAATTAAAGAAATGTTTAACCTTTTGTAAATAAAGCTATGACTTGCATTGCCTTTCAGCTCAATGAAAAAAAAAAAAAAAAGCTAATTTATTAGTAAGCTTCTTACCTAAGACTGATGTATGTATTCACAGTATGGTTTACAGCATTATAAGCCCAGAATACCATTGAAGTTATTCTGTCCAGAAGGTCAACTGGCTGCTGATTTGGAGGCTGTGTTTGTAGATAGCTCTGCTAAAAGGAACATTCTTCATAAAAGCAACCTCTGACCTCACAGCCTGTAATCACAGAAGTTCGGGTCCAGATTATAGAATCGTAGACTTGTTTGAGTTGGAAGGGACCCCTGAAGCCATCTGGTCCCATTCTTTGCACTGCACAGGGGCACCCACAGCTCCATCATGTGCTAGAGCCCCTCCAGCCTGACCTTGGGTGTCTGCATGCCTGGAGCAGCCAGATGTTAGACACTTCACAGTATTTTTTTATATATATTTCCTTGTTTGAATAAGTTTGTTGTTTCTTTTTTTTTTGTTGTTAAAATGAGGATCGTTTTCCAGTTGCAAAGAGTTCAGGCAGATTTACATGGCAATGTGTTCAAGCTCTGATGTGCTTTGTTCTGAGCGTTGGTCAAAAATTGTTTTCCAAGCTAAACAATTAGTTCTAAATCTGAACGTCAATTTTGTATTGCCTCTAGAAAATCTAAAATGCTGTGCTGTAATTTATCTTTATTGCTTCTTCTGCTTCTGCTCTGAAACAGGGTCTGCTGGGATGTTCTGTCCAAGGAGTTTGGTCAGAGGTGTTGGAGAGCTGTGCTCAGCTGGGCCTGGCAGCAAAACTGGGAGAGGCTCACAATGAGGGTGAAAGGGAGGAGGAAAACCAGACTACTGCTTTTATCATTGTCATGCTACAGGGCTTTAAACAGCAAAATCTGTGCTGGTAGGAAAGCCCATGCCTAAATCTCTTGGATAGTAAATATGGACTAAGAGAAGGCTCCTAAGTAGAGACTTAAACTGACTGGTATGCTCTAGGAGTGTAAACCTACTTAAATTCTGAAATAAAAACAGCATCAAAACTAAATGCAACTGAAGAACAATGCAGTGCAAATTTCAAGTCTACTTCTTTTCTTCCAGACGTGAGAAGAAGAGCTGATGTACCTAAAAGCTTGTCTAAGTTTTCTAGCTGCACTGCTTTGTTTCAGGTAGGATATCTGTATTAGCAGAGTTCCTTGTTCTTGGGGCCATGGATAATATCAGCACCAAAGATGTTACCATACAGGCTGCAAAGAATCTGGCTGGGTTCTTGTGCAATTTTACTTCTTTTGCAAGTCGTGTACGAGTGAGAATGCTCTGCCTTTGCACAATCGTTCAGGTTAGTTTTTTCTTGACCAAACCAGCCCTTCCATTCTTCTGTGCCCCATTTCCAAGAAAAAAAAACACTGCAGAGGTTTTGGGAAGAGTATCCAGTTGTTGGTTCCTTTTCTAAAGGAAAATCTCATTGCAGGATGTGAGTTCCAGAAGCCCCAAGGGCTACTTTGAGGGCAGCAAGTTATTGCCAGTGAGCTGCAATGCCAATTCTGTGCACAGACATGCTGTGTTATTGCTGATGTGGAGATTCCCTAATCTAATCTCACACATGGTGATACCTGCGCCAGCCTGCTATACGATGGGTTCCTCAATGTCTTTAATTGATGGGAACAGAAAGTCCACTGTCTGAATGTTTGCTATGAGTGCAGTTTTCCAGCTGGCTTATTTTCTGTTTGTGTTGCTCCTTGCATGAAGCTTGGCATGTTTTTGGAGATGTTTTGGTATTTTATTGGTGTCGCTTGCAAGGCAGATACATTTTCTTTCCCTTGTAAGCTATGGAAAAACCTAAAGCTTCTTAAAAAATAATAATAATAAAAAAATATAAAGCAATTCAGCTTTTTGAAAACACATAATTGAAGAGCTCTGAAATAATTGGCTTATTATAGTGCACCCATAAAAATGAATTTGCATCTCATTTATGAACTATTAGATTCCCTATTACATGAGTCTGATTGTTCTTAATGTGACTTGCATGTAATTTAGCATTCTTTACTCAAACCCTTTGTAGCTAAACACTGGGGGAGGGAAGTTCATTTCAAAATCATGGTGCTAGATCTTAGATTATGGAGAATTCACAAATGGTTGGAGCTTTCACAAACTGGATCCTGGATGTTGTGCTCTCAGCTTATTCTTTGCCTCTGTATTACCATTCAAGCTGCTGGCTGTGCTGCAGAAGCCTGAGAGTGTCAAACTGATTCTTTTCTTTGGGGGAATCCCAGGTATGAACACAGACTGGCAGAACTCCCTGAAGCAGCCCTGTGGTGAAGGACGTGGAGTTCTGGTGGAGGAAAAGCTGATGTGAGCAGCAGTGTGTGCTTGCTGTTCTACAATTCCTTGCTTTGCCATCAGTTTGAAGGCTTGGTCACATTACAAGAAAAAGTGCTATTACGGAAGATAAACTTTAGCTGTGAGTACTTGGGTAGCTGCCAAGTGCCATGGATGTGATTTTGCGGACTGCTCACTGTGGTAGTCATCCAGTCTTGTTCTAGTCTGAAGTCTCCTCTCTTGCGTTTCAGAACAGACGTTGGCATTATAAAGGATCTGTGCGGTAGAATCCCTTATGAAAGGGATCTGAAGGGAAGCAGGGGCCCAAGAAAGCTGGTTATTGTCCAAAGATCACTTTCTCTAAGCTCAGGAGCAAGGCATCCTGAGGAAGTGACAGAGGTGCTGCAGGTGTTTGTAGCAAAGTTGCCCTGGTGGTCAAATTAACTGGGGGTTTGTGAGGATTGGTGAGCAAATCCATTCCAGCTGGTGGGCTGGGGGATCTGTGGGTATGGAAATGTTGGAAACATCCATCCATAATACTTCCAAATGCTATTTTGTTGCATCAGAAACTGTGTTTATGCAGTCAGGAATTGTCACTTCCCATGGCAGCCTTTCCCATGTGCAAGCTTTAGTTTAAATAATTACAGAGTCCAGGCCTGACAAATCCGTTCCATTCCGTTTTGACTTGAAGGAGGAGCAAAGATGACAAGGAAGAAAATGCAGCGTAACAGTGGGTTATGGATTGGAACAAAGTGGAACAAAGGATTCTGAGTGCACAAATAACTCCACGTGGCTGAAAGAGAGGTGACAGGCACATCCCCTGCACCAGAAGTTCTGCAGAATTATTAAGCTGGGATTTCAGAATATCTTATTTACTGTCATGAGCAAATGGTGAAAGAAATGATGTACTGAAGTGGTCTTCAACAAACAGAAGAAACATTGTGGTCTTCATAAGAGGTAAGAAATTAGTGTTAATCCCTGGTTGGACATGGCCAATTAAGAAAATGTTTAGCAGTAGCAACTGTAGCAAGTCCTGGGGCCATAGAAACATAGAATGGCTCAGACTGGAAGGGACCAAGGTTTGAATTTCAGCAGTTTCAAAAGTCAGGTACTTCTCTATGCATTTTTTACAAGAAGCATATAGAGAATTGAGTTTTTAGCTGATCTTTGTTCAACTCATGACAGGTGTGGTAGTGCTTCTGTTTGTTATGGGGTAGCAGGTAGTTCTTCCATGTGAGGGGGAGGAATTCTGGATTGAAAAATTATGGAAGGACCTTATGCTCTTTTAGGCAAAGCAGAGATCCGTTAACTTCAGAAGATAACCAGATGCATCAGAACAGCAGTGAAATCCTTTGTGTTTCCTTTGCCTTTCTTTTTGATTGTAAACACTCTCAGTTTAGCAACAAATCCAGCCAGAAGCACCAACACCGAACAGCCAGGGAAGCATAGCAGCCCCCTACTCCTCTTACATCAATTTACAGCAGAGATTACGTTTGGTTTCAGAAACGTGGAGATGCTGCACCCATAAAAGCTACCATTTGATGTAGGGGAATTGTTCACTTTATACATGAGAGCAGATTAGAACAGTGTCAGCACTGATGCTGGGTGTTGCTGGGCTGCCACATGCTGTTAGGGGAACAATTACTCCAGCTCTGAGCCCAACCCTACTTTAGGGCTGGAGCTAATGAGACATGTGGTGTGCTGCAGAAATGGGCTCAGGAGCTCAGCTCAGGCAATCCCTGCTGCAGCTGTTGTGCTAATGCATTTCTTCCACTCCATCCGTTTCCCTGCCTGGCAGACTTTGTTATTGTTTTGCTTAGAGGTGGTTTTACACCTCAGAATCTGTGAAGGGTTGTAATAAAGATTCCGAGTGTAGGGGTTAAGCAGGATCGATCTGTTAGCTTTTCCAAAACGAGGGCTCTACCACACTGGCCTTTGAGGGATAAATGTCTTATTCAGACAAATCCACGATGCTTTTCAGAGAGAATCACTTTGCTGTTGTCAGGGAGCACGGCTGATGCGTGGATTACTGGCATGAGGCAGCCAGCAGTGGGCTCCTCTTTGCTTTCTTTTGGGAAGGTGGAAACATGCGTTTCCAAAGCAGCTTGTTGTTTAGTAAATGTCTGCTTTTACTCCCCAAACAAAGTCATTTTCATTCTGTTCCTATCACTGAAGGTGAATTCTGAGCACAATTTGAAAGATTCTTTTCAGCTTTCACTAGTTGGCAGTCAGAAGTACCCATCATCCTGGATCCATGTGAAGTCTCTGCTTTGAGCAAAAACTTGCTGCTGCGAGTAAAGAACAAGCTGGCACAGTGCATATTTTGCAAAGGACACACCACGATTACTGCTAAGCTAGATTAAAAGTTGGAGAGAGACAGCAGAGAGAAACTCTTAAACCTGTTACCGTGTTCATTACTCACCACTGCTTGTGTATTTCACTGCCACAGATCGCCATGCAGACATAATGCTCATTATCTGTGCAGGAGGTCGCCTTTGCATGCTGGAGGAAAACACTGGTATGCCTTGCTAATTTGATTTTAATATCTGTGCCACGCTATTGTTTGGCCTAGAAATTAGATTGCTTTTTACTAATATAATTGGCTAATTAAAACATCTTCTTCTGTAGGAGATGGGAAAGATACCTACAGTCCTTCTGTGACTTGGGACATAATAAAGTAAACATGAGTCAGTTTGTTGTGCAAGAGCTCATTTGGAGCACAAAGACAGGAGTGTGCTGAATGCAATTTCCTTTGTAAGTTTCTGAGATAAAAAACACCACTGGAACTGAAGTGGGGAGCTCCAGTCCTCCAGCACTGAAATGGAGATGCAAATACTTGGAACAGAAGATTGACCCTGTAAGACTGCCTTGGTGATGCCTGACAGATCGTAGGATCATTAAGGTGAGAAAAAACCGCTAAGATCTTCTAGTCCAATTGCCCACCTACCACCAATATTGCTCACTAACCCATATCCCTCAGCACAACATCTCCCCTTTCCTTTAACACCTCCAGGAACGGTGACCCCACCACCTCCCTGGGCAGCTGTGCCACTGCAGCAATGGTCTTCTGGAGAAGAAATGTTTCCTAACATCCAATGTGAACCTCTCCTGGAGCAACTTAAGGCCCATCACCTCTCATCCTATTGCTGCTACCTGGATGCATAGGCTGACAGCCACCTCACCTCGAACTCTTTTTAGGCAGCTGTAGAGCTCTCTCCCCTCTAAGGAGAGACACTGTAGTTAAGTGCTATCAATTCTATGTGTTTCTAGTACTCTATATGTATATAGTTATTGTAAGTTCCCTGTGTGGGGCTGGTTTTGATGTGTAAAGCAACACAAATGAATCCAGTTGCACCAAGACACGCTCCTTCTCCCAAAGAGGAAAGCACAGCTGGTTTCATATGGTGACATATAACCCTAACTATTCCTTGCCTTCATGTTAGCACTTACCACTCTGAGTACCCCAAAAGGGAAATTGCTACGGGAAGAGCTACTGCCTTTCTTTCACCGTCTGCTTAGAGGTAATGTGAGCTAAACATGTGAGGAAGGGACAAATGTTACCTCTGCCAAAACAGTGAAGATGGAGGACAGTGGGAAGTAACTTCCAATAAGCAGATTGCTCTCCTACCTCAGATGCCAACTGTGAGAGCCACAGCCTCCTTCCCCTAAGATGCTCATTGGATTCTGTGTTAATACACCACCCTCCAGACAGGGCTCGAGGAAAATCACAATCTATCTTTGAGTCTGGAAAGAGTTTTAGAGACTTATGCTAATCATATTTAATTTCTATGTGCAAATGATTTTAACTAAATGTAGGCTTCCCTTAGTATCTTCAATTAAAAGCTCTGGATATACTCCAAAGTTGCAAATTCCTTCACTAAGCCAGTAGGGAATGATAATGAATTATTGCTAATATAGTCATAAAGCTTTTATTTGCATAAGTAATAGGAAGCTAATGTGTGGATAAAATTAAACTTTAAAATGAAATATTATTAAAACAAAACTGTTAATGAATTTGGACACATTACTGAGCAGGTATATTTGGCAGCTGGCTAGAACAGATAACTCTAATAGAAGTCTAGTTGAATCAAAATCAATATTGAACACTACATAACATGCTGAAGATAGTCTAGCAAGTTATACGTGCTCATCTTCTCAATTTGGAGGTGCTTCATCATTGTTAGCTTTCACAATCATGACTAAAACAAAAGAAGGTGTGATTATGGAAGAAGGAGAAATGAATCCCCAAATTGAAGTCTTTTGTTCTCTCTTTATTGGTATAATTAGATTGTCTTGAGAGAAAGCGTTCTGAATTCTCACAAGAAAAACTGAAGATTGAAAACTTGACTTGCATAAACAGCTTTATTCCTGATTATATCCAGGTGCTCCAGTGTGGAAAGGTTCATTATACCTACAGTGTTAGGCTTTTGTGCTGCCTTTTGTCTATAAAACAACGTACACAAAACTGCATAAAGCTCCCTGAGATGTCTGACCTCCATATCCCAAGCCTTCTCCCATCTGGGCCAGACACAGACCGTGCTGTGAATGCCAACTTTTTCTGCCAGACCCATTGAGACAACTTGGGGTCACGGAATGTTTTGAGTAGAAGAGAAAGAAGCATTTCTGGAGCCGGAGATTTCATTATTGTGACAAATGAATTCATTTTCTCCGTTCCACAGGTGGGTTCAGCACTTTATCATTGTGCAGAAGCCAAAACTCTGACACTTGAAAAGATGAAAGTTGTCAACTCTCAGCTGGTGTTTCATCCAAGGGGAAAGGCCTGTGTTGATTTGAACCATCTAAGAATATGTCCATATCTGCCTTCTTTCAGAGCAGGCATTTCAGAAATAACCCAGGGAAGTTGCATTTCTGCAAGGCCTGCGTACCTGACCTACATACACAGCTTTAAAAATTCCAGTCCTTAGGAACTACAATGAAACTCAGCGTTGCTCTGTGTTGCAAAAAAGCCCACTATGTTTCCCTTTTTCTCAGTATTTTACATGAAAATGCTTTGGCAGGGGGAAAAAACAGAGGAAATATTTCTACTTGTGTTTAATTTCAGTTACTTGAAATATTTCTTTGGCAGAATGAAATTAATTGTTTTTTTTTTTTTTTCATACTGAGGACAGAGGCTGTCCTGTGAGGCTGGACCTGAGTAGCATGGTAATCAGTAGAACCACAGTGGGATAGTGGCCTGTTTTGTGTCCAAAAGAGGAGATTGGTGTTGGGGATATCAAGGATCCCCTGCTGTTTTTGCAGGTGTATTTTCTGGTTTTACACAAACAGCTGCTGGCACAGGCACTGCCTCTTGCTCTGGTCCTGGCTTTGATGCCCAGTCCTGTGCTGGTAAGATGCACAGAAACACTTCACCCCTTGAATTCCCAAGGAAGTTGTACTGGGTCTCTTATGAGCCTTGTCTGTTTTAGGTTCTTGATACAGTCAGGTCCTGAAGTTTGTACATTCTGAATTGCCAGACTGTTGCTCTTGGTGCACGTGCATCTGAACTAATAACTCAGTTCACTGGAGACTGTTTGAATAAATAGGGAGCAGTGGGAATAAGACCAAAGCTTGTGGGGCTGGCAGCATTAGTAATACTTCTGCTGAAACACACCTGTTGTTGCTTTCCCCAGAGGAAGATTTGGTGTTCAGAAGCCCTCTGACACACGAAAAAGACCATGATTTTAGATCTCCAAACCAGCACCACCTGAGTGGTTTTGAACAGTGCTGCTGATAAACAGATAAGCACAAACTGTGCATTTCTGCTGATAACTTGGTTGTCAAATCTCAGGCTCGTGCAATTGGAACTGCTGACTTATTAAACCTCAGAAGCTGGGCTTCATAATGGAAACAGAAACTCAATGAACCTTAATTACAGCTGCAGCACTGACCATGGCGTAGCTCTTCACACACAGGAGTTCAGCGTGGGGGGGTGAGTGTGGTAGAAACCAGTTGTCAGGAATGGTGTTAGCTGTGAATGTGGGTTTTCTCCATTCTGCTCACCAGGCTCAGTGGAGCAGTGTTAGCACCAGGAGAGTAATACAGAAGCTATTAACCTTTTCTTTGTGCCACGTTTTCAAGACTCAGTTCAACATCAGGTGGAAGCTGTCTGCTGTGATGCTTTAATAGCAAACCTGTGGAGTTTTGATGATGCATTATTAAAAAATTATATCACAAATGACTGTTCAGATGTGTGTTTACTCAGTTCTGCTTTCGTTCACTACTGCTCCTCGGTTTTAGAACTGTTTGAATAGCAAAATGCATGTCATCGTTTTCAAATGCTTAGAAGACAAAGCCAGTGTTTCATCAATTTATCTATGTCCCAAATGGCCCTTCTATCCAAGACTGTGCTTGAAACTCTGAATTACAGGCATAAAAGATGAATAGAATTGTAATGATTTGCTTTAAAAGAGCACTAAGATTTGGGGAGTATGATGAAAGCCTGCAATAGCCTAAGCATTTTTCTTCTGTGTTGTTTTTCAAAGGAACACACTGGTAAAATCAAAAGAGATGGCAGGGATATGTTTTACATTACTATACAAAAGCAAACAGATGGTTTACTTTTCCTGCTTTTTAAAATATGTAGCTACTGCATTCTCATTATATCTCTTGGAATGGTTTCAGATATCAATTTAGCTTGCAAAACTGAGTTGATTGAATAATAGGTTTATCACAATTTCAAATCAATTAGAGATACTCCTCGCCGGAAGAAGAGATGGTTTACTTTAATATCAATAATAAAACTGTATAAGCCATGAATTACTTTAGACTATTTAGCATTATTGCATTTCTCTGTTACAGGGACAGTTCTGCTGATATCAGTTGGCAGGAGCTGCTAGAGACAGGGCAGGCTCAATTATGACCAGATGTAAAGTAGCTGTCAGGGTTCTCCAGGGGCACTGCTTTCTCTCTTGGTGCCTATGCTAGCAATTCCCTTCTACCAGCCACTGCCAACCTTCCTCCTCTTCTTCCTCCCTATCTCATATATTTCATATAGTATTCCTCCAGAGGAAATAACATTATCCTGGAGAATCTAAATTTTAAAGAGAAGGGGATTGAACGAGGCGATATATGTGGCTTTTAAAAACCCAGGTGGAATTGTGTGTTATCACTACTCTTCTTTGCACAGCGTTGATTTTTATCATTCAGTCTGTTCTGAGTTCGAAACATGATTCCTTCCTTAATCTGCAGTGCCTTTCCCATTGGGTTCCCAAAAAGAAAAACAATTGCTCAAGCTCATTTCTGTTTGATGAAGCAATACTGCTGTAGCTAACTGAGATGGAAATCAGTTGCCCTCAGAATCGCTGCATGAGGAGTGGCCGTTTCTTCCAGGACATGAATGTGCCTTGGGAGTGTGTTCTTTCCATGCAAGAAAAGACTTAATGCAGAACAGCAGGACTTGCAGTTCTTGCACTGCGTGACAGGACATGTTTTATGGATATCTGAAAACTTGTAATTCCTCGGCTGCCTGGCAGCTGGCTTGTCGAGGCTTGAGCTATAGCGTGCTGGCTTGTTATTAGCCATGGAGTGCTGGGGTAGATTTACATGTTGCTTGAGATAATTTGCAAATAGATAAATATTGTCTTTGCATCCACCAATGGAATCTGAAATAGATCTGAGGTTTGTGAGCTGGGCCTGGCTTTGCATACAGGAAATGAGTGTGGAGATCAAAACTGGGATCATGTACTGAGAGCAAACCCCAAGCTGCAAAGCCCCTTAGGGTTGGAGCAGTATAGGAGCACTATGGCTCTTGGGCTCAGTTGAATCCTGAACCAGTTTCAAATCGTTCTGCATTATGTCTGCAGTTCTGTTCTGCTGGTGGCTTCTCCGATTGCAGACTTTTAATTTAAATGAAGGGAAGAAGTATTTCTAAGCCCTTTAAAGAACCAGCCCTCTTCACCTCCCTAAGTAAGAATAACCCTGGAAAATGTTTCATGGCTCCAAGTATTACACAGGTCATGCACATGAGTGCCTGGAAGACTCATCAAAATCCCTTAGGCTCCTTGGGCTGCATCGTTGACCTTGGGCTAGAACTGGAAGCACTATTTTTATGGCAGAATTTAAGGTGCATCAGTAGCTTTGACTTTGAGCTTGAAAGATGCTGGATCACAGAAAGCTGCTTCTGGCTGGAGCAGAAGGTACTTTTTGGCTTGGCCTGTCCAGTCACCTTTCCACCCACAGAGCTGAAGTCAGTGGGGTCAGCCTGGCCCACAGCACAGGTTTTTGGGTAGTTCTGTTTTTATTTTCTTCTGTTGGCATTGATCTCTGGAAGACAGAGAAAATATTTATTCAGTGTAGGCAGGGTGACAGATATCTCTCGTATGAAGAACTATTTGATGAGCTGTTAGTTTTGAGTGCCTTTCCTATTCATTGAACTAATTAGCTCTACAAATCTTACTGTCAACCAGTCATATAGCCACTTATTTATTTTCCCATGTGCAGAATTTTTACTTTGCTGCCTATATGCAGAGCTATAAAACCAAACGCACCAAAAATTGTCTCTTAGTTGGATATAAATGGAAGCAAAATACTCTTGGAATTATTATTACATGTGCCATTAATTTTTATTTGAACTGTCTTATAAAAATGCCAAACTGCTTTCGTTGTTTTTCACTGTTGCACTCATGTAAATGTAGAAAGGTTGTTGATTTTTTTTTCCTTCTTTTAATGCTTTTTTACTGTCTTCAGTGGGTGAATATGGAAATGACTCTCAGAACCAGGAGAGAATGGAGATTTTAATGCTTGACAGCGTACCTGGAATCTCCTGCTGACACTGTTTGCTACATCCCTTTAGAGTTATGGCTTTGTTTTAACCTCCTCTTGTGCTTTTTTTCCCCTTTTGTAAGCTTAACATTATTGGTAGCCTTTTTAGCATCACAGTGAGTGGAGTTAAGTATTCCATGCAGTTAAAGCTCAGGAAGATATGGCTGCTAAGACTGGCCCGTGTTGTGGTTAGTCACATTGCGATGGTGCAGAGGGCATTATCTTGAAAGACACCCAGCCAATGTGTTTGTGGGAAGCAAAAATATGGATGATGCGATTCATGCATTGGCAGCTTTGACTTTGAGCTTGAAAGATGTGATTTGTGGCACAAATGCCTCTCGTGATTTGATCTCTGTGGCATTTCTGATTCGGAACAGTATTGTGGGGGCTCAGGAGGCTGAGAGGAATTTGTTGGTAAGCAGTGCTGCTCATAGAGAGAGCTGTAGAGTGGGGCCAACCACAAGGAGGTGTGTGATCACCCTGTGAAATATGGGCAGATGTTTTATAGCTGTATGGCTGCCTACAAAAGTTTCCAGTAACGCCTGGAAGTTGTGCAACGTAATGGCCAACTGCAATGGTGCTGCTGGTTGGGAAGGGATTTTCCATTTTGTAACCTGATGTATTCAAGTCATCAAAGCCAAGATTCTTCTTCTGCATATGCAGCATTGTCTGTGAGCATGGATTACTTTTTGGACTTTTTGGCCAATTGCAAAATGGGTGGTCTGTGTTACAATGGGCCATGTTTTTTGGGCCAACATTTTCTCATGTTAGGAGATTATTTCGTTGTTTTAATTTTAAATACACCTCATTTTGGAAGCAGAAGTAATGGACCTGCGTAGGAACTACTACAAACACAAATTAAACTGTGCTTGAAAGCAAGCATTTACATTTTTTTCCCACTGAAGAAAGCCCAATTCAAATGAAGCGTAGACAAACGGAGCGTGTGCAACCCGAAGGCAATGAGTGGTGAAAGCATAGCTGTAAAATGGAAAACTGCTAAATAGAACTGCTCTAATTAGCTTCAGAGTGCTCTTATTTAACTATTAGAAATGCGTGTCCAATTTTGATACGTGAACTTCAAAAAGGATGTTGGCAAAGTGGAAAGGATTTGGAAAAGGTTTACAAGAAAGATTTGAAAATCATGCCATCTGAAGAGAGACTTAGACTCTTAATCTCTTTATCTTGTTTGAGAAGAAGAATAAAAGATTACTTGAAGAAGAGATCTGTGATAATAACAGCTCTTTAATCTAATGGTAGAAAGTACA